ACAGGTCACCACAATCCTACGTGGCACTAGGACCGGGGCAGCCCATCCTCTCTACCCCGGAAGTCATCACTGGTTGGGGTCCTACCCCCAGAGTCCAGCAGATGAGGCCTCTTCACCTGTCCTTTGACAAATGGTGGGAGGCACTGGGGACATTTCATATGGAGAAGGGGAGACTCAGGGAGGAAGGGAGCTGCCTTCCAAATTCTGAAGGACTGTCATGAGTCTGTCAGGGATGCCCCCGCCCACAGACTCCAGGTCCCCTTGTGTGATCAGACCCCTGCCCCCAACTCTGGCTTCATTTCTCAGCACCCACCCACCCCCAGGATCCCTGGGCTCCAGCATCCCCTCTGCTCTCCCTCCTCTTCCTCAAAAGGCCCCCTCAGACCCTCTGCATGTTGTCCCTCTACCTACATGTTGCCCCCACCCTCTGCCTGCTCAGTTCTTCCTCACTCTTCCTCTGGGAGCCGTATGCTGACCGCCCCCCAATCTAAATCAGGTCCCTAGTCCATCTGTCATGGCCCTCTGTACTTCTTTGCAACAGCATCGATCCCCATTTAGAATTTATTTAGAATTTTATTATCTGTTTTAAATCTACTTTCTAAACCGGGAGCCCCATGAAATCACAACAGCATCTGTCTTGTCCCTACTGCACAGCACATGGGCTGGCATGTAGTAGGTGTTCAATAAATGCTGAGTTTGTGAATGAATGGTTCCATCAGGTGGGAGCTACAGAAAAATAAATTTCAGCTTGGTGAAAAAAAAGGAACTTTCTAGCACCTTAGGCTGTCCCAATTTGAGATCGACCGCCGTGTGAAATAGGTCCCACAGTGGCAGCCTGGAAGCAGGGGCTGACTGGATGGGGAGATGAAAGCTCTGACTAAGGAACGTGCTAGTGCAGAGGTTCGTGTCCTTCAGAGCTTGAAGAAGGAGCCAGTAATTTGGGCAAGGGGAGGAGCAGGAAGGAAGAAAATACACTTGGGATGTCAGGCCTGTTACTCAGGAAACAGAACATTTATAGCACCAAGCCTGGCTGGGACCACAGGGGATGGGCGGGCAGCTCTGGGGACAGGTCTTAGGTGGGAGCAGGATTGGGGGGCTGGGCTCTGGATCCCGGGGCTGGGGCTTCCCATCCTGCCTCTGCACCCACGCCATCGCTAGGCACAAAGGCAGGGAGGACCTTGAGGACAGGGGTAGGCCTGGTCACCTGAGTCCCCAGCAACCTGTACATGAGTCTCTGTTGAACCTGCCCCCAGTCAGGACCAGTTACATAATTTGTGGGGCCCCATGCTAAATGAAAATGCAGGGTCCCTTGTTCAAAATGTATTAAGAGTTTTTAAATGGCGACAGCAGAGCATTAAACCAAGCATGGAACCCTATGCACATGCACCCAGCCCGCCCCAACCCCCAGGAGGATGCTGGGCTGTGGACCCCACCCCATCCTGCCCCGACCCCAGGGCCAAGAAAAGATATCAAACAGAGACTTCACCACATTGCTGAAGCCAGGGCAAATCCTCACTCTACTCAGCTTACATTTTCGTTGTCTTAATTTATAAATATGAGCACTTGGAAATAAGGCAAAGGGAAAGCAGTATACCAGGTCTGACAATTAAGTTTGTGAACTTGTTGCAACAATGTTGCTAACCTTTTTGATATCAGAGGGATTATTCATTATGAATTTGTACCAACTGGACAAACAGTTAACCATGTTTAGTATTTGGAAGTGCTAAAAAGGCTGCGTGAAAAAGACAAAAATGACCTGAACTTTTCACCAACAATTCATGGCGCTTGCATCACAACAATGCACCAGCTCACATGGCACTGTCTGTGAGAGAGTTTTTAGCCAGTAAACAAATAACTGTATTAGAACACCCTCTCTACTCACCTGATCTGGCCCCCAATGACATCTTTCTTTACCCGAAGATAAAGGAAATATTGAAAGGAAGACATTTTGATGACATTCAGGACATCAAGGGTAATATGACAACAGCTCTGATGGCCATTCCAGAAAAACAGTTCCAAAATTGCTTTGAAGGGAGGACTAGGCACTGGCATCAGTGCATAGCTTCCCAAGGGGAGTACTTCAAAGGTGACCATAGTGATATTCAGCAATGAGGCATGTAGCACTTTTTCTAGGAAGAGTTCATGAACTTAATGGTCAGACTTCATATCTCTCAATGTCACTTTGGAGCATTATTTAACAGACCCATCTAAGGATGTTTTCATTAGGGGAATATAGCCTATTTGATTCACCATTTACTGTTTAATTAAAAATCTGGCTGATGTGAATTTCCATGTTAACTTGTAGATTTTTGTAAGTGATTTCTGCCCAATAGAACAGATAACCCCAAAGGTTATGGTTTTATGACCCTGTAAGTCGTTCGCCAGCTTTGATTCTAACCCAGAGCTTTCATCCCCACATTCTTTCTCCAAATGCCCATTTTCCTAATTCTGCTAATTACCATCCTGCTCATCCCTCAGTAATGAGTTGAATAAATCTGTGATAAATTCTCCTCCTAAGATTTGGGTGAGGGTCATTTTTTCAAACTTTGTGGAAGTTATACTTTGACTTCAGGATCAGGAAAGGACTTTTAAGGAGCCTAATTAGGATCCATAAGGAGATTCGGGGAATACTATATCCATAAAACAAGAACAGACGCAAGCTGCCCTGAATAGTAAGCAATCCAAGAAAAAAGAAGTGATCCTGGGAATTAACAAGACACAGAGCAGACGAACGCTTCCCACGAAGGCAGTAAGTGGAAGGAAGGAAGGAAGGAAGGAAGGAAGGAAGGAAGGAAGGACATGGCTAGCGATTCAGAAGACCAAGGAATTCTCTCCTAGCACAGATGAAACCTGAGGGAAAAGAGGAAAGATGTGGAGAATAGATAGAAGAGGGATGTACCCACTTAATGGGAATTTCAGGAAAGACCAGAGAAGGATGGGCAATAACCAAAGAAGAAATAAAATTTTTTGTCCTTTCCTTGAGTGCTAAAGGGCCCACAGGGAGCGATCCTACACCGAGGCCTACCCTAGTGAAATGTCTGAATTCTGAAAGTAAGGAGAAAACCCTACAAGCATCTAGCAAGGAAAAAGCAGGTTGTCTCCCAAGAAAGAAGCACCAGACCTGTACTGGGCTCACCTGCAAGACTGTTGTACATTTGAATGACACCATGTGCCAGGTTCTGTGGGGAAAAAATTATGAGTCCAGAACAGTGCAGAAAAAAACTACCCTTCAAACACAAAGATCAAAGGAATATATGTTTAAAGAGGCAAGACTGAAAAAAAAATGACACTATTCAAACTTTTCTTAAAAAAAAAACAAAGGGCCGGCCAAGTGGTGCGATGGTTAAGAACTGGCTTGGGACGCCAGAGGGCCCCGGTTCGGATCCCACATATGAGGGCCAGTGACACTGCCCTCCACAGCTAAGATGCTGAACATCAGCTCAACCTGGAGCTGGGCTGCTGTGAGTCGCCGGCGACGGCGTAGGCTGAAGTCCCTGCTGCAGTGGGTTGCCATGGGCTACCGTATGTAGCCAGCAGCCAGCGTGAGCGGCCAGCGGCCGCAGTGAGCGGCCGTCCAGAAGCCAGCGACTGATCTGCCTCACCCGGGAAGAGCGCAATGATGGTGCCAACTTGGGCCAGTGAAGCAACGTCCTCCACAACTAGATTGAAGAACAAAACGACAGCAACTAGTCTGTTCCCCTTCCCCCAATTCCCCCAGCACTGTTCCCATCCCCCCAATTCCCCAATAAAAATCTTAAAAAAAAAAAAACTACTTAAGGATATCCTCCAGCCATACCAAAATGAGAATGAGAATGGCAAACTTGACAAAGGGGTGACATAGTTCACAAGAAACCATATGAACCCGGGAGAACTTCTAGTTAAGTCTAAATACCTGTTGACAATGTGGTTGTGCAATTGAACACGGTTCTTAGAAAGGATGCTTAGAAGGGGTGTAACTGTTTTTTAACACTGTTGGACAAATCATTTCACTTCAGAACATATCTGTAGAATTCTGCATAGACTCGGTACTGACTGCCCATTTCAGTCACGTGCCTTTCCACCCTCCCCACCCCTTCCCAATGTCATCACACACACACCTGCTGACACACACATATGTGCAATCACACTCACACACAATGACACACAGACACACATATGCACTCACAGGCCTCTAGCCTTTTTCCCTCCCTCTTGTCACTTGTGCCATATTGACTTGCTGCTGGGCACAGCTAACACCGGCTCATCCATCAGCTCTTGTGTGTCACTTCCTCAGGAAAAGTCCTCAAGCCCCCAGCCTGGCTGAGAGAAGCTCAGAAAACCACCTGCTTTGCCCAAAGCCCTCGTCTCAATGTGTGGGACGCGTTTACCCATGTAGCTATTGGGTGGCTCTCCCCAGATGCTAGCTGAAGGTCAAGTCCTCTGTCTGGGTTTGCTGTCCTCCATACCCCACACCTCTGACAATGCTGACACTTAGTAGAAGCTCATTCAACCCCTGGTCGTTGGGTAAAGGTGTGAATGAGCTGCCAGCCTAGTTTGACCCAGGAAAGCAGGAACAAGGCACAGATGCTTAAAATGGGCTAAGTTGTAACCTGGCCTCTCTCTGACTGTCGCTTATGTCTTGGTAGAAATAACCCCAGTTTGGAGTCAGACTGTGCTTGAGTCTATGCTCGATCTCTGACTTGCTGAGTGGTCTGGGATAATAGCAGCAGCTAACATTTATTGGGTGCTTATTTTGATGTAGCTACTCTTATTATCCCTATTTTACAGACGAAGAAACTGAAGCTTACAGAGGGTTAAGTGGCTTTCTCAAGGTCAATCAATTGGTCAGTGTAAAACAGCGCAGGAGGGCACACGACTCATCAGAGAGGGGAGGAAAGAACGTCTGTCTGTCCAGACATTATCACACAGCTTCTTCATCATCACCAGGAAGCCCCATGGATTATTGAAATTAAGTCTGGCATGCACCCGAGGCTCATACCTGCCAGCTGTGTGCTACCTACCCTGCCATGACAATGAAGAAATCCAGTCGGTTCCACGTGTCCCCAAGGTAGCACTTCTTGCCAAAAATGCCCAGGGCCACCATCTTGAGCACCATCTCCATGGCAAAGAAGATGAAGATGAAGTCATCAAAAACCTGCAGGGCAGGGGGAAGGTAAAAAACAAGGGACAGTGTGAGGTTCCGGAGCAGGACCCAGGGGTCAGAGTCACAATGTGAGATGGGGACATGGTGATGGACATGAGGGGCCTGGGAGGGATCTGGAAACTTCTTATCCTGGGCAGGAAGAGAACCTCAGAGATCCTGGTCCAATGCAATCATTTCACAGATGAGGAGACTGAAGCCCAGAGAGGGGAATGAACTTGCTCAAGGTCATGCAGCCCATTCTATTTGTTCCCTAAAACCAGGTATAATGACAAGGGACCTAGGTGGATGTAAAGCAAAGAGGCTTTCCCTAATAATTGCCAAGCACTGGGCTAGACACTTGGCCTGGATTCTAATTCTCACAATGACCCCATGAATAGTCCCATTTTACAGATGAGGAAACTGAGACTCAGAGAGGTTAAGCAACTTGCCCCAGGTCACACAGTGAGTGGCAAAACCAGAACTGATTCTCAGGTCTATCTGACTCCAAAGCCCACACAGAAGGAACTTTCTCAAAACAAGCCTGACACCTCCACCAGGCACAGGCCTCAGTGCTGCATTCCTCTGCTCAGAAAGGAGGCCCCAACTGTATCCTGAACCATGGGCTCAGGTGAGTATGTTTTCTAAGGACAGGACCTGGGTGGAATTCCTCTTTCCAGGATAAATGAAGGCTGCAGACAATTCAGTTCAACAAATGGGCAGTGAGCACCTACTGTGTGCCAGGACGGAGGCTGGGTGTCGGGGACACAGAGATGAGTCCGCTATGAACACACCACCTGGTAGGGAAGTCAACCTAGTACACACTGAAACTAATCAGTTTTAACACGGCTTGGGGGCTGGCTGAGAAGCCGCTACCCACTCAGACCCCAGACCCACCCCAGTGATTCTGATTCTGCAAGGTTTGGGATGGGCATGGGCTCTGAATCTTCAACAAGTGCCCCCCAGGGGATTCTGAGGGCCTGGGCTGCTTAGGAACTGCTGAGTCCATGGAAACGCCAGAGACAAAGGGCAGTTCCTCCAGGAAAAGTCCGGCTTTCCCAGGGAGATGGCACTGAGTGTTCCCACATCTGTAAAATGGGTGTAACCCTCACCCCTGCACTATGGGTGTACATGTGCTGCATGGGGTCATGGCAGGTACCAAGGGTTAGCCCCACCTGGGACCTCAGGAGATGAGAACGGGGAGATATGGAGGGCCAGTCCAAAAGGACACGGAAAGCCAGTTACGGAGCTTGGCCTTTATTCCAAGAGCACTCACTGGGGAGCAAAGGACAGGCTTTTTGGGCAGAGGAGCATTGGAGTCATTCATGCTTTAACAGTATGGGGCAGGGGAAGTCAGGCTGGGAAGACCCGGAGGAGGAGGTGGGACAATATGGGGGCCTGGACTAGGGCAGAGGCCCAGAGATGGGGCGCGGCGTTGGGGTAGGGAGGAGGCTCACCAAGGGGAATGGATAAGACCAGGTGGGAGTGAGGAAGAAGACAGCCAGCTGAGAGAGCGCGGGCCAGCGAGTGGGGATGTGGCTTGGCGGTGCAAGGTGGGGCAGGGCAGGGCGGGGACCTGGGGTTGGGTGG